ATATAGGCCTGGAAATATTGCAGTGAATCCTTCAATTTGTACAATATTTGCCAATAATTATAATTTTAAAAAACCTGACTACTCCCCAAAACTGGGAAAAAAATAAAAATAAATTGTGGCAGTGAATGGGTAGGAGTGACCCTGCCCCTTTGCATCTCTTTGAAATGGAAACAATGTGTTTAATGTATTTAAGTAACACTTCTGCCCCTCTGCATTGTCCTTGAAATTCTTCATGGTTCAGTGACCCCAGACTCTTATGAGGTGTAACAGACTTTAAAAACCATCCTGTCCATTTTCCCTGCCTGGGCAGGAATCCTCTCTATGGTTTCCTTGACAATCATGTGTCTGTGCTGGAACATTCCTCAGACACAGCCCACTGTTTTTCCAGGAAACTCATTTCACACTTAGCTGTTAATTTACATACGGTTGGCTCAATAAAAATCTGTGGGAAGAATAATTGATATTGAGCAAAATATCTTCTACTGATCCTTTGCTAGTCTCTGTGAAGCAACAAAGAACAAATCTGCCTTCCTTCCTACTCAAGAGTTCTCAAGTGTTCAAACCTTAAATAGAAAAATATTATTATTATCATTATTTTTACTCTCCTGTGCACTTACCCATCTCCTGGCATTGTGGGGGGTTGTCTTAAATGCCTTTTCCTATGATAGAGCAGGATCCAAACCTGACAGAGCCTGCATTGTGATTGTTCCCCCTCTATTTTCTAGTTTTTTATGATCTCTTAAAGTGGCTACAGTTTTCTGGAGCCTAACCTGTGTTCTAGTCATTATTAAATCAGGAAGGGAAACCATTACATCCCTTGATGTGGTTGTTGTATTTTTATTAATGTAGCTGTCACACCACACTCACATGGGGGTTGGAGTCACCTAAAGCCACAACTCTCAGCTCCTGGTCCTCCACGAGTTTGAGAAGCATGCATTCTAGCCAAGTTGTAGACAGCAACATGGAGTTGGAGAGGGCCAAGTTCAGTGGCTGGCACTGCTAGAGATCCCCTTCAGGCTTAGCTTTTCCCCCATGAATAAGGACTAAAGCAGAGAAGGCTTAAATCTCTGAACCAATTAGGTTTCATCCGTGATTGAAGAATTTCTTAGAACCCCTAGATTTACACACCTACCACATGCAGGTGATGAAATCACTCAAACAAGACAAAAGACAGTTATATTAGTTGTTTCTAAGGCAGTTTGAATTTTTCTATATCAATGATCTATAAGCTGAACAGTGAAATTTGAATTATGATTAATGATGCTGGCAGTTATTTAAAACATGTTAGAGGGGTCAGTTTCTCAAGCCCTGACGGGCTTGTGGATATTTCAAACATAGCAAATGTCACAAAATAACTAGACTTTGAAATTCTCAGTTTGCATTGTTCATCATCTTTTTAAAGGAAAAACTTGCTAATATTGGGGACCTCCTAAGAGCGGAAGCAAGCACCACTCAGAAGCAAAGCTTGCTTCAGATGTATGAATAACACACTCTAGTGTACAATAACACACTCTGGTGTCAAGGGGTTGAGCTCCAGCTGAGAACAGGTGCGACCAGGAATAAGGGGCGGGCTGGAATATGCTACAGCCTCACCAATGCAAGGCGTGTGGTTGCAGACTCCTAATTACTTCGAGCGAAACTGCAGGGAAGAGGAAGAAAGGGAGGAAGAAAATTTCAACGCCCAGTTGTTGGGGTGAGTGCTGGAAGCAGTTTCAGGATAGGTCTTATAAATTCCCTAGAATCTCGCGCTCCCTTTCCCGCACTCCGCTGGAGTTGGTGTGGCAAAGTTCTATTAACAGCAAAATACACAGAAGTAGCGTCCTGAGGACGAGGCTGCCGGGAGCAAGGTCTAAAAAGGCATTTTCCTTCTCCGCGCACCCACACCCGCCCCACTGTCTCCTCGGAGCACACTTGCCGGTCTACTTTTTTGCATTCGGTACACCTTTCGTCCACCCGCTCCCGCCGCGGATCTTCTTCCCTGGAAAGACTTAGCCGACCCTAGGGGGCTCAGGCTCGCGCCTTTCTGCCTCCTCGGCCCTTTCTTGGTCCGGGTGAGGGTAAGAGGTGGGAGGAGCTGCATCCGGCTGGCGCAGACTTCCCTGGGGGCTGCAGAGGATCCGGTGAGTGGCCTGCAGAGTGAAGGGGAGGACCACACCCTCCTTCCGTCGCTATAGGAACGACATCTGCCCTTTTTGTGACTCCAGCTGAATGAGTTTAGGCTCTCTGGTCCAGTACCAAATCACCTTTTACATCAACCTAAAGAACACATCTTTTCCCTCCTCCCCTTCATTTGCCCCAGTTTTTTTTTTTTTTTTTTTAACGGACCAGGCAACATTTGAACAAAATCCAGGGTAGAGAGATTAAAGTAGGTTAAGCACACCAGACACGTGAAAGTAACCCTTCCCTCTCCTTCAAAAAAAAGCATGTGGAAGTACATAGCAAAAGTTCTATGTACTCATCAAATGAACACTTTCTTGAGCATTTAGTCTGCACCAGGTTTTAGGAACGCATGAAAAGGAAAGTTATAGTTGAATGACATAAGTTTATGCTGGAGTACAATGTCTGGTGCAGGGAAAAAATAGACATGCAAATGAAAGCTAAGTTGAACTTGAGCTTTAAGAACAAATATTATATAGCCCTGTAAAGAAGGCAGGTAAGTCCCCACAAGTCTGAAGGTCCAGACCCATGTGGAAGCTTGGTATTCTGGGTACCAGCAATCAGTTTGATGAGGCAGGGCTAAAGGTATACAGGAGCAGATGAGACAAGATTGAAAAAGCAGATGGCAACCAGTCATATATGAAGTGGCTTGGAATTAGATGGGCTAAGGAGTGTGTGGACTGTAAAGCAGAAAAGTGCATGTTCAGATTTTAGGAAATTTCCCAGTCACATTATGGAAGTTAGGGAAAGTAGATTGAGAATCAAGATGCTGAGYGCAATGGGGCACGCTGTAATCCCAGCGATTAGGGAGGCCACAGCAGGGGGATCTAGAGTTCCAGGCCAGCCTCAGCCTCAGCCACGTGGCCAGACCCCCTAAGCAACTTAGACCCTGTATCAAATTTTAAAATAAAAAGGGTATGGTGGGAGCTGGGGATGTAACAGTGGTAAAGCACCCCTGAGTTCAATCCTCAGTGTCCACCCCCAGCCCCTCAAAAAAGTCAAGGCAAGGATGCTGCTTAGAATTAATAAGTGATTTTATTTCAGGGTAAGAGCAAATGGAAAAGCAGTTTCAAGAAATTTAGAAAATGAAATAAAGCTTGGTAGCCAGATGCAAAATATAAAAGACTGAATCCCAGGATTACACCTTAGACAGCCTTGATAGTGGTGTCATGTATCAACAGAAAATTCTACAGGAAGGAAGTTGTTGAGGGATGGATCCAGATTGACTCACGTCCAGTTGCCAAATATCAAGCAGCAAGTCTGGTGTCAAGATCAAGATGTAGAATAATGATCATAATTTGGAAGTCACTGTCACAAGTAGTGATCACTGGAGTCTGAAAACATCTAAACTTGAACAGCGGGGAGGGTGTAGTGGAACTGCACAGAACATGACAGTGTGGTGAAGTGTGGTGAGAGACAGTATAGATGACACAAAGGATTAGAAAGCTACAAAACAATAAAGATTAAGCAGGAGGTGGGGAGAAAATGACAAAAGAAAGGTGTCACATGAACTAATGACATAAAATATTTTGATTGGGGTGTAATAAACAGTGTATATAAGACAAGGTGAGAAAAAATGTACATTGGATTTAGCAACTAAAGGTTAGTAGTGTTTTCAGCCAGGCAAGTGTTTTAACATACTTTAGGGTAAATTTCAAATAGAAACTATTTATATGAATAACAAAACAAAGTAGTTCTCAAGCTAGGGGCGATGGGTAATCAATAATATCAATACCTAAACCAGAGCAGGCCCTTAATGTTTACTGTTGAAGTACATGCACTATAGAATAACTCAATATTATGTTAACTGGAAAATAATGTTTAAAAAGTGGGGTAGGGTAGGTGTGGTATAGATAGTAAAAAAATATATATACTAGGTAAGAAAAAATGTACAACAGAGTGAGTGCTCACTTTAATCATAATTCAAAATTACTTCTTTTCATGTTAATATAGGAAGTTCCATGTGAACTGAGATAGGTATTACACATTTTTTTAATGTTTAACATGACTGAAAATTTATTATTAAACATTCAACAGGAGTAGGTTGAAATTCTCACCATAAATATAATCATCACTATTCTTAAAAATCGTCTATGGATATTTATTTCATTTATTTATTTGTATGCGGTGTTGAGAATTGAACCCAGTGCCTCACACATGCTAGGGAAGCACTCTGCCACTGAGCTACAACCCCGGCCCGCATCATCACTATTTTTATTCACAATAAACTCAAACCTAAGTTTCCTGAAAAGCTCTAATATCAAAATAGGGATGACTAAGAACTTGACAGCCACTCCTTAAAGTACTAGCTTCATATAAAGTAATTAAGAAACAGCTTCCCCTTGTTTGTGTTTTCAACAGAGCTTATTTTTATTTTATTTTATTTTATTTTATTAAGAAATGTAGATAGAGACTGATAAATGCAATGGTATCAAGAAAAGAGCACTTCAAAACTTTTTCACTTTTATTTAAGGTTTTGACAATGAAGAGTTTATAAAATGTCATTATATTTGCTATATAATAATCATCAATTTCCAAGTAGGAGACATATGCCATAGTACAGAATCCATTGTAATATGTAAAATGATTCTTTATTCTTACTATTAATAAGATTTGGCTAAAATACCAAACATCCTTGCAGTAAAACTGACAATATAACGTAAGTAGCTTATAAGATTTCAAACTATCTCCTGAAAGAAATGAGAATGTTTCCCTTTGTCAGATACACTCTGAAAAATTAGTGTCACAAAGTAACATCATGTGACTAGAAAAGTACAGCGCATGATACAGACTTCCTCCACATTAAACTGACAACCACTAAAAAAGACAATGACTTATGATACATAAGAAAACAGAACAGCTCTTCAGAAGGAATGACATGAGAAGGTATTTCTTATGAACAAACCTCTTTTTGAAGTCTTGAAGAGCTCTTTAGAGAACATAATTACAAAACAGATAAAGATCATTTATGTGACATGTTAAAGGATTCTTCTATATTACAATATCCTCCTTAATCTTAAACACAAGTCAAATATAAATACACTTTTAAAACTGTTATTCTATCAAACATTTCTTTGCTACCACACTCGGCTACTAGTGGCATTTGGATGCAAAGGCTTAACTCGTGCTAATCTGGATAAGCCAAGGCGGAGACTCTGATTTGGGGACCTAATGGAAACTCCTGCCATTGGACTGCTGCTGTTGCTGCTACTTCCGGATGAAGCTAAAAGAAAACACAAGATGTAACACAAATCATGTCAGAAATCTCTTAATAAAGATCAATTCTTAAAACAAAACAACAATAAAAAAAATAGTTAAGCACTGTTTTGCTTTCCACATTCTATCAAGCAATAAAATAAACATTCAAAATAATGGCAAGTACTATATGACAGAAAGAATAGAGTATAGGGAGAGCACCCATAATGTGAAAATCCAAACTTTGAAAAACTTCAAAATCTGAAACAATCTGGTCCCAAGCACCTCGGATAAGAGATATTCAAAGTATTGCCCATTTTTAACTATCCCCAGAAGGCAAGGTAATGAACCAAAACTTAAACTACCAAAGCTGAAATGAAAAATAATTCGGTTGTAAAGGCATAAAGAAATAGAGACAACTATAATTGCTAAAGTAATGAAAAAAATCTCATGTATTTTTAAAGTTTATAATTTTTATAAGTACTACTTGAAAAGACTCTATTTTTCAAGTATTAAACAAGTTTTAAAATGGCAAATAGATCTTCTTTAATTACTAATGAGAGKGAAACTCTTCATTTTTCATTGTTGTATTTCTTGGAAGAACTGGGATTTTTATATCSCTGGCTCATTTTTCCTTTGGGCTCTAGATGGTTTTCTCAAATTGAATAAGACAAGCAACAAATTGGCAACCTAGGGCCAAATCTAGCTTTCAGATACGCTATTTCGGGGAGACTGAGGCAGGAGGATTGAAGAGTTCAAAGCCAGCCTTAGCAATCTAGTGAGGCACTTAGCAACTTGGTGAGACCCTGTCTCTAAATAAAACAAAAAGAGCTGGGGATGTGGCTCAGTGGTTGAGCATCCCTGGGTTCAATCTCAGTATTAAAAAAAAAAAAAAAAATGCTGTTTGGTCTACATGGTTTTTTAAAAGGTCATATTTAAAAATGAGATTTCATATTAAAATCTGAATTTCTGGCTTCTCTTGAAAAGATCAGATCTGTATGTACCAGCCTATCTCCCTGCATACAAACAATCTGATGGAGCTGAGTAGCTCTGCTCCTTCAAGAGGGACAGAAGCTCTCAAGTCCAAGGGGTCCTGTTCACCCATTATCATTTGTCTGCCCTGTCACATACTCAATCTGTCAGCACAGTGTGCTTTATGATATTAACTCTTTACCCATCATTTCACTATCTCCTTTTAATTTTTTTGATCATGCTACTTTTTAGCTTCTACAGTCATACCATTTAAAAAAATTTTCTTCCATTGAGGAATCACTAATTATTTTCAGAAAAAAAATATACGAAGTATTACTTTTTGAATGATATGGTATCATTATTTCAGTAACTTTCACACCTTTCCTTCTCTAAAAACTTTGAAGTCCTCATTGAAAATCTTAACCAGAAAGAATTTTAAACATTATATTAGTTCTTGGTAATTCTGATAATAAAATGAAGACTCAGGTAAACCAAGTAATCATGCAGCCTCACAGTTGAGCCCTAACTCTGTATGTTAATACCTAGCCATCATTCAGGAAGAGACCAGCATGGGCCAATCAAAAAAGATCATTCAAAAGAAGTGAACCTTGAGTAGTTTTGGAAGGACTCCAAAAGGGAGAGGGGACAGGAATATGATATGTGTTTAAGGGATAGAAAATGGATCAATTTGACTAAAGTAGAAGGTTCATGTAATTGGATGAAAGTGGACACAGGACTGGTTGGGTTGCAGCAATATTTTTGACTTAGATGAAGTTGAAGTCCAGAGTCCAGGGAATTCTTTTTTTTTTTTTTTTTTGGTACTGGGGACTGAACTCAGGGGCACTCAACCGCTGAGTCACATCCCTAGCCCTGTTTTGTATTTTACTTAGAGACCAGGTCTCACTGAGTTGCTTAGCACTTCACTTTTACTGAGACTGGCTTTGAACTTGTAATCCTTCTGCCTCAGCCTCCAGAGCCACTGGGATCACAGGCGTGCACCACCACACCCAGCTAGGTCCAGGAAATTCTTAAAGGATCAGTGAGATTTGGCTGGGTAGCAAAAGAAAACAAAGAGAAATCAAATTGTAAGAGCCAGAGGCTGAGTTTACTAAAGCATTTGTAAATGCTGGAATTCCCATGTACAAACCCCAAGGCTTTGATAAGAATGCAGAAGTCAGCAGGTACTGAGCACAAAAGACTTGTTATCAGAAATATAAATATCAGGAATCTCAAATGTTTACACTTTCTGACACTATAATTCTACTAGTGGGACTTTTACCCTAAGAAAACAATCAGGGATGTGTCAGATTTCTACAATAAAGATGTCTGTGCTTATGGCAAACTTATTTATAATAACAATGAAAAAAAATCATATATGACCTGGATGCCTAATAGATATAAAAATGCAGTAATTAAAAACAATGGTTTTGAAGACTATATAGTAATATGGGAAAAAGCTCACATATAACATTTAGAACTAGGGAGAAAAGAATCTACTACTGGTAATTTTCTAAACCCCTTGCCCTTGATCGCAAATATACCATACCTGGTGGGACCCACTTCGGTCTCTTGATTTCAGCTGAAGGACTGTGTATTTGCAATGGTTTCCTAGTGACCTCCAAAGAATGATAAGCTTCCTCAGGTGAAGTCTGAGATTCTGATTTGATAGCAGCTGCAGCAGAGTCTACTGAAGTCACTTATTTGAAAAATACATACAAAGAAGCTTGTCATATGGGAAGATAGTTCAAGTCTAGCATGTATACGTAAAAATTATAAGTTTCATAACCATATAAAATTAAAAAGGCAATATCAAATTCGAAAAACAAGTCAAGAAATTTTTATTGAAAGCCTGAAGATTGCCTTCTTTTTTTTTTTTTTTGGTACGGGGGATTAAACCCAGAGGCACTTTACTACTGAGCCACATCCCCAGCCTTTGCCTTTTTTATTTTGAGATAGAGTCTAGCTAACTTGCTTAGGGCCTCGATGAATTGCTCAGACTGAACTCAAACTTGCAATCCTCCTGTTTCAGCTTCCCAAGTTGCTGGGATGACAGGTGTGAGCCACCACACCTGGCTAGGACTGCCATCTTCTATGAAAATTTTTATTCCAGGCAATGTGGTCTCACACACACTACCCTTCACTTTTTACAGCAACTATAATACAGAAAAGGAAACAGAGGTTAAGCAATTTGCCTGTAGTTTGACACTTACTACATGCCTGAATTGGGATTAGAAACCAGGTTTGAACCAAAGTTCATTTTTGTAACCATTACACAATAGTGTCTCATTAGTATGTGTCAGGGAGTCAATAGGCTCTAGGATTACAAAAAGTTTATGTAACTCATGAATCCGTACTACCAAGGAATTTGTGGTTCTGTCACTGGCCTGGGAAAGACAGGAAAGAGCTGTGTCTAATGCAGTGTGCAAAGGAACATGTCACTCTCTAGAAGAATGCTCAGTAGGAAGGGAACACACAACCTGGTATGTGTTTAGAAGTCACAGGAACGGGATGAGGCTGGGCTGAACCAAATCAAGGCTAAAGGGTAAAGATGAATTGAGGGAAGTTTTCTAGGCAGAGGGAGTACAGCACAATGCAAAGCTATAAAGTATAACAAGTTCCAAGACCAGTACTGGTTCAGTATATCTAGAGCAGGAATCTTAAGAATAGGAAAGGTGAGAGACACAGTCAAGGTACAATCACTTATGAAGAGCCATATAAAGGAGTCTGACTGGTCCACAATCATGTATTAAATTTTCTGAGGAGTAATTTGCATTTTGAAAGCATCTTCCTGGTGGTAATGTAAGGCAAATAGACCACTCAGAAAGCTATTATGGTAATCCAGGAGAGATGATGAGAGCCTGAGGTAAGGTGGAGAAGGGAGGGGATAGTAGCAATTAAACATGTTTTAGTAATTAAATGTGGGGAGGTGGTGATGGAGATGAAGAATAATCTATAACTTGCAAGTTCCTCTCATGGGGAACAGCTTTGAGGCCATTGTTTACTTTGAGAATGAATGTAAGAATGGGAGCAGGTTTGTGTTCTTTTTGCTGGGGTGGGAGGTGAGGGAGGAGGAAAAAAAGAGAGGTAGAACAGAATCTCACTTTGAGACAATGCTTGCTTTAAGATACCTAAGGGGTTTCTAAATGTATACAAGTATGAACACATTCACTACATACTCTTCCCAATGTTACATCCATAACACCTGACTGTCCAACATAAGTTTCTATGGTAGAAATTTTCTATATTTTGTATTATCAGAGATGGTAACTGCTAGCCACATACTATTTTGAATACTTGAAATGTGGCTAGCAAAACTTAGAAACTGGCTTTCAAATGTTAATTAATTTTAATTAACTTAAATATAATATAATCCTACATATAGCTAGTGGCTAACTTATGTTAGACAAAGGTGCCAAAAACATGTATTGGAGAAAAGATAGCATCTTCAACAAGTGGTGCTGGAAATCCATATGCAACAAAATGAAATCAAACCCCTATCTCTCACCATGCTCAAAACTCAACTCAAAATGGATCAAGGAGCTAGGAATTAAACCAGAGACTCTGCGTCTTATAGAAGAAAAAGTAGGCCCTAATCTTCATCATGTGGGATTAGGCCCTAACTTCCTTAATAAGACTCCCATAGCACAAGAATTAAAACCAAGAATCAATAAATGGGATGGAATCAAACTAAAAAGTTTTTTCTCAGCAAAAGAAACAATCTGGGAGGCGAACAGACAGCCTACATCCTGGGAGCAAATTTTTACCCCTCACACATTAGATAGAACACTAATCTCTAGAGTATATAAAGAACTCAAAAAGCTAAGCACCAAAAAACCAAATAACCCAATTTACAAATGGGCCAAGGACCTGAACAGACACTTCTCAGAAGAGGATATACAATCAATCAATAAATATATGAAAAAATGTTCATCATCTCTAGCAATTAGAGAAATGCAAATCAAAACTACTCTAAGATATCATCTCACTCCAGTTAGAATGGCAGCTATTATGAAGATAAACAACAATAAGTGTTGGCGAGGATGTGGGGAGAAAGGC